TTATTATTTTGTTATTGTTGGAGTTAGTGAGCCCTTGAGTCCTTGTGTAACTGGGAGGGTAGTCACTTTTTTTTTTTTTTTTGAGGTGTTAGTTAAGTGTTAGTTGTGTTGAGTTAAAGGTACACTGTATGGAGGCCTGCCAGGTTCTTAGTGGAGCTGGTTGGTCTCCTCTTTCTTCTCTAGTAATGTTTATGTAGAAATGTGTATATTGAGGCAGGAGGTGGTTCAATTCTTCTTCCTGGCTGATATAACTGAGAGGGTAATCATATTATTATTAGTATTATTAATATATATATATATATTTTTTTTTTTTGAGTTAGTGAGGCCCTTGGTCCTGTGTAGCTGGGAGGGTACAAAACAAGGTGTATATATACAGAGGAGGGTGAGACCAGGTCCACAATGGTCAGGTATTAGGTAATGACCCTACTAATCTTTAAATAGCACACAACGGTCGGTAGTCAGGTCAGAGGGTAAGGTGACCCAACCTTCTCACCTGGTTACAAATCTTCTTTATTACAAAATTGTCCAGTTTGTACATGCCATTACTCAAATTCATGTTGAATGCTTCGGTATGTTTAATAAGACTAGATTCTATGACCTTCCTACTATCAATTGAATTGCATGGTAATATTGAGGAGGCATTATCCCAGTCAATGCAATGCTTGTTATCCCTCAAATGAACAAACAGAGCATTGGATTCCTGGCCTGTCCTAATACCTGACCATTGTGGACCTGGTCTCACCCTCCTCTGTATACATAAGAACATAAGAAAATAAGGAGTCTGCAATAGGCCGGTTGGCCTGTGCTTGGCAGCTCCTGTCGAGAGTTACTACCACTCTCTATCATCCATGAATCTATCTAGCCTCCTTTTGAAACTTTCCAGAGTTCCCGCACTTACTACAAAGTTGCTAAGCTTGTTCCACTCGTCCACCACCCAATTTGTGAACCAGTTTCTTCCTATCTCCCTCCTAAACCTAAACTTATCCAACTTGAATCCGTTGCTCCGAGTCCTATCCTGCTCGGATATTATAAGAACTTTATCTATATCCCCTTTATTGATTCCTTTCACCTACTTAAATACTTCTATCATATCTCCCCGCACTCTTCGTCTTTCTAGGGAATGCAAGTTAAGTTTCTTTAACCTATCCTGATATGGAAGGTTTCTAAGTCCCGGAATCATTTTTGTCATTCTTCGCTGCACCGACTCTAGTGAATTTATATCCATTCTATAATAGGGGCACCAGAACTGAACCGCATAATCGAGGGGCGGCCTAACTAGCCCAAGATATAGTTGCAATAAGACCTCTGCACTCATGTTACTTACACTTCTAGATATAAAACCCAATACTCTATTTGCCTTATTTCGAACATTAAAGCACTGTTTTCTAGGCCGTAGGTCCGGGCTTACAAGTACCCCTAAGTCTCTTTCACAAGTCGACTTCTCTAGGTTGATGTTGTTAAGGCTGTATACATTATAAGTATTTGTTCTTCCAATATTAAGTACGCTGCACTTGCTGGTGTTGAATTTCATTTGCCATTTTTCAGACCACCCTTGCAGTTTATTTAGATCCTCCTGTAATGCATTTGCATCCTGCCCTGAATTAATTTGCCGCCCTATTTTGGTGTCATCCGCAAACTTGCGTATGTCACTGCTGATCCCAGTATCTAAATCGTTTATGTAGATTATGAACAAGAGTGGGCCTAGTACTGACCCCTGGGGAACCCCACTGGTTACACGGCCCCACTCAGACTTAACACCATCTACGCTGACCCTCTGCGTTCTATCGGTGAGCCATGATTTTATCCAATTTAAAACTTTCCCCTCGATACCATGAGCCTTAATTTTTCTCAGAAGCCTCTGATGCGGTACTCTGTCAAATGCTTTGCTAAAGTCTAAGTAATTAACATCGTAATTTTCGTCATTATCTACTACCTCGAAGACTTTCCTAAAAAACGTTAGCAGATTTGTTAGACAAGATTTTCCATTTGTAAGCCCATGTTGAGAGTCGTAGATTAATTTGCTTTTCTCTAGGTGCGATCGGATGCTATCTGCTATAATTGATTCAAGAAATTTCCCCACTACTGACGTCAAACTGATCGGCCGGTAACTTGACGCTGATGCTCTGCCTCCCTTTTTGAATATGGGTACACCTTGTTTTGTACTTCTCCTTAGTCTGTACTCACCCCTGAAGAGGTGAATTACACGAAAACGCTTGGGAACTTCGTGTTTTCTTCTTTCCTTATGGTAATCAGCATATACCTAGATCACGCGCACCTACAGTGATTTACTTGCATATATATATATATATATATATATATATATATATATATATATATATATATATATATATATATATATATATATATATATATATATATATATATATATATATATATATATATACCCAGGTGGGCTATTCCCCGTAAAAAAAAAGAAAAAAAGTGGAAGTTTGGATGTTACATGATACTGTGCTTGTGAGCCGGTCAGTGGAAGACTTGTTGGTATATGCAAGCCCTGGAATTTTTATACATCGAGGGGAGGAGAGGGTGGATCAGAGATGATAGGTGAGGGCTTTCTGATTTCTCTGGTTAGATTCCGTTACTTGCGTGTTTTCGCCCAACAGTATCCCTCTACTATCCCCATGAAACTCGTTAATATGTTTCTTATCTTTTTTTCCTGGGTGAACAAAAGGAAATGTATTTAGTCATTTAACTCCAGATGAAATAATGGGAGTTTCCTTGGACTCCATACAGAGGGATTAATCCTGAACATGTATTTTGGTTAGAAGTGGAATGTATGTCAATGAAATGACGTCAGTTGTAAGCAAAGTGTGCTTACATCTCGATTCAGAGAGGAAAAATCAGTGGCACTGGCAGTGAAGATGGCATTATTAAGGACATGTAAATAAATTTAAATACCAGTGTAAGAGGAGTTGCTGCCAAATTGAAATAAGTATAAAGTTACTATTTATGTACAGTTGTCGAGGTAAATGTGCACACTGGTTCCACAGATTTGATAATGGTTTCCTTCCCATAGGAATATATATATATATATATATATATATATATATATATATATATATATATATATATATATATATATATATATATATATATATATATATATATATATATATATATATATATATATATATATACTTTGTATTTTATTACATAGAAGGTAAAAATTCGTTTATATCCTAATTTCCCTAAGTGGCATGATTTATTTTTCGAGTTTATTTTATTTTTTTAATTGCACGTCAACCAGGAACCTTAGGATTTTATTTACAGTAGAAGATACGAGCTTTCTTACCATATAAAATTTTTAAAATTAGAAGGATTTCACAATCAAAATATGGCTTAGGCATGAAATCTTTCTTAAATGAAGTTTTTCACGTTGAATACATTGGTGATAATGGAAGTTTATGGAAATGCATGATTGTTAAATTAGGACTCGCTATCTTTACCTATCAAAGATGGACAAGGCTTTAAAGCAGAGGGAAAATGTGGAATTAAAACATAACTAAAAGAACCTAACGTAACCTAATGTGGACAATGTACTCACCTACTGGATAAATATTCTGCACAAACATTCTAACATATAAGTCAGTTTACACAGTAATTATCTACCTTCCAGCCATGCCATATTGATAATACATGCCACCCGTGATGTGCCCTTTTCATAGAAGGTAAAAGCTTTCGTACCAACCACCTAAATGGCTAGTAAGCAAAGTAATAAGTTAGATTACCAGAAGAAATTGAGAAAAACATGCAAGCGGAATACAATTGACGCAATGTATAGGATTTGTACTTTTCAAATTCTGTATTTATCTCCCAGGTTTTCCAGTAAGTAAAGATCCTCTATGCCCATTGTCCACTTTATGACATAACATTTGTGCTCCAACTGTTGACAAATATTTCACAGCCATCGAATTGCCCTGAATATCTCTGCAACAGAACACTTCCCAATCTGTAAATGAACTTCCTTTCCTTATGGACCTACCTATCCATGGGTAATATACCTAATCTAACCTAGAATAGAAATATTAAGTTATTTAATAATAACTTTTGCGATTAGTGTTTGTGTATATAAAAAGAAAGACACTGCTTCTGGGAAGTTACCATCTTCATGTAAATCATGTAATTAGTCTTATAAGAAGGTCTTTCAGATACCTAGACTGTACATCCCTCGAAACACTACAGAAGTGAGGTGCTTCCCCGTTTAGAGTACTGTACTATGCTAGAGATAGTCAGTTGATTGAAAACATCCAAAGGAAGGCCACCACCAGACTGATGCCTGCACTACAGCACCTCAGTTCCCCAATGAGATTAGAACACCTGCATCTGCCTATACTGTAGTACGAACTTAAACTATGGGTCTATAAACACTCCAGATGATATTACTCAGTCGAGTAACCATATCTGGAGCTGGCGGATGCTCGCCCCTCTAGAGGTCATAGCTTAAGGTTGAAGCCACAAGATCGAAAAATTGTCAGGGGGCCAATTTTTCGGAACGAGTATTATGAAGCCTTGGAACAATCTGCCATTGTTGTCACAGCACTAAGTGTGAGCTCTTTCAAGACCAGACTTGACCAACACTAGCACAGGTACATATATATCCTGGAGCCTGTACTGGCCAACAATGTGTAACAGAGATGTAACCAAGCGGCTAACAAGCCGATCAATGGTGAAAAGGATGAAGTAAAGTAATGATAAAGATACTAATTTTTCGATATATCGGATAAGATATAAAGATGTATGTACGGTATGTCTACACTTGGGTGATGCTATTCCTAATTTGTCTGCAGTTTCCTTAGGACATACCCATATAATATGTTCGCGTATGTATGTATAAATCTGTTTATCTATTTATTTATTTTGCCATGTATATGGCAAATGTCCAGTTACCCACAAGATTGTCATGTATAAGTACAACTGTCGATTGATAGCATCATTGTGCAATACAAAATCATACGAGCAAAATGAATCAAACAAAAACATGCACTTCATCTTTATTTATTTTTAAAAGAAGTTATTAACTACATGTTATAGTTCTGCATGGCGAAAACGAGCAACAGAAACATATAATGGTGTTACTTCAATGACTAAAGGTTAATAAAGTGCTAAAGTCAGGGAGGGTGGAGTTCACCCCAGTCTATGTTGGCCCCAAAGGAGGTGAAATTGACGCCTATTCTCTGGCAGCAGGTGGTGGGCAGGTGGTCGACCCAGCAATCTTGGCCTCAATCCAGGTCAGGTAGTCTGGGGGACACATATACATCTCTTAGTGATCACATGTCACCTTAATGCCCAACACATGTTACTTCAGTATTAAACTCAATCAGAATATCAATAAACTACAGCTGCTACTACTATTTTTATTAGTACTACTACTACTACTACTACTACTATTACTACTGCTGCTAATACTACTACTATTACTGTAATAGCAATGCTACTATTATTACTACTCGAAAGTATGTAACACCCACTTGGGTGTCACACAACTAAACAACACTAGTAACAGAGTATACAATGATAACACTTCAGAACTAAGCTTAAATTTATTAAAATACAGCATGCTTTTGCTTGGGAGTAAAACAAGTGATGGTTCTCACAGATAAAGGAGGTATAAAAGAAGCTGTAGACTTACTTGTGACCCTGGCGTAGACTCCTGGGTAATCGGCATCAGCACAACCGTAGCCCCAAGACACTACACCGATCTGTACCATGAACCTCTGGCTACTGTCCCCAGCAGTGACCATGGGACCACCAGAGTCACCCTGGACAACACAAAATGTCTCAGTAAAACACAGAAGTTTTGTAGATAACATGAAGATTAGGCACCCCAGCTAACTTCGCCTGATTATACAACACCTTAACGTGAAATGCGAGGGTTAAGGTGTTTAATTATCAGGTGAATAAGCTGGGGTGACTAATTTTCACTTGATCCCCTTAGTCATAAGGCTATCATATGTGTAACATTTATAATCAGTTTGCAGTGAAATATGAGGATGTACAGCTACCTATCCTTTCATTTATGACTTACATAGAAAATTGTTGACCTAATTTATATTTCATGGTGATATACTAGTTAGTTTGGATGGTACTTAAGCAATTAATGACAATAGAAGTGAGTATAATATAATAGAGAGGGAGTAAAGAACAATAAGTGACAAGGAAGATGGTAATGGGAGAGAGATGGGTAGTAGGAGTAGAAGGAGGGAGTGTTACCTGGCAGGAGTCCTTGCCACCAGCGTCTGTGCCAGCACAGATCATGTTGGAAGTTATGCCTGAGCTGCTGTACTTGGTTTTACACTTGTCGTTGGTCATGGTGGGTACCGTGACCTCATACAGCGTGTTTGGCTGTGACCCGCCTGTCACACACACACATATATTGTTAGCTTCAGAAATGTCACTTGAACATGTGGGTCCCTAGCTCCATAAATACTACCAAAAAAATATGATGTTCTGCACTCCAGTTGAGACGAAATAGTTCTTATAAATATTATAGATGGTAACTAATTCTCATGTATTATTTTAGACAAATGACTCCTACACCGAGTGACTGACCTGAGGTAAGACTGTCATAACTGACCTGAGACAAGACTGTCATATCTCACCTGAGACAAGACTGTCATAGCTGACCTGAGACAAGACTATCATAACTGACCTGAGGTAAGACTGTCATAACTGACCTGAAACAAGACTGTCATAACTGAACTGAGTTAAGACTGTCATAACTGACCTGAGGTAAGACTGTCTTAACTGACCTGAGGTAAGACTGTCTTAACTGACCTGAGGTAAGACTGTCAAAACTGACATGAGACAAGACTGTCATAACTGAACTAAGACAAGTCTGTCATAACGGACCTGAGACAAGACTGTCATAACCGACCTGGGGAAAGACTGTCATAACTGACCTGAGATAAGACTGTCGTAACTGACCTGAGACAAGACTGTCAGAACTGACCTGATATAAGAGTGTCGTAACTGACCTGAGACAAGACTGTCATAACTGACCTGGGGTAAGACTGTCATAACTGACCTGAGACAAGACTAATGACCTGAACAAGCTGTCAAACTAACCGGACAACTCTATAACTGACCTGAAACAAGACTGTCTGCTGACCTGAGACAAGGCTGTCACCAGCAACCTGAGACAAGACTGTCACCAGCAGCCTGAGATAAGACTGTCATAACGACCGGCCTGAGACAAGGCTGTCATAACTGACCTGAGAGACAAAGGCTGTCTCACTGAACAAGCTGTCATAACACCTGAACAGGCTGTCAAACCTGAACAGCTTCATAACTAACCTGAGAAAGCTGTCAAACCAGAGACAGACTGTCATAACTGACCTGAAACAAGACTGTCATAACTGACCTGAGACAAACTGTAACTGACAACAGACCATAACTGACCTGAGACAAGGCTGTCATAACTGACCTGAGACAAGACTGCATCTGACCTGAGACAAGCTGTCATAACTAACCTAGACAGACTGTCATAACTAACAACAAACACACCAACAAAAACCAAACAAACCACAAACTGACCTGAGACAAGGCTGTCATAACTAACCTGAGACAAAATATTGGTCATACTTGTAGATGATAACAAATATGAGTCATCCTTATTAACACTGACAGTCATAGTGTGTAAGTTGATAAATGTAATATTTGTGAAAACTATATTTTATTTTCATGCCAAGTTTAAAGATGGTAACTGAGCTAAACGATGATGAGATATTTGATAACTTGATCCATCGCTAAAAAGCCCGTTAGACACAATGTTACCTTTCATAGGAGTTGCCATACCTGAGCAATACTGAGGCGCTCTGTGGCCGACGTCTCGGAAGTGCTGGTGTACTTGTGCTCGCCGATCACCACCATGTTGCTGGTGGTCATGCTGTAAGACATAAGCTGTGTTACTCCTACACTGTTTGTCACACATCACCAGTATATTTGATCTTCCTAGTACTATTCTCTCTCTCTCTCTCTTTACCAATGCTTCTTTCTTGACTTGCAAGATATGAAACCTTTATATGCAAGTTTTATTTGTCTGCAGGAGAATCTGAGGCACAGAGAAGTTTTCATAATGATCAGGTGTCTGTAGTTATTTAATGGTATTTGGAAGACTGTAGAAGTTTATAGATTACGATTTGTATTTTAGGAAGAACTTTCCACAGGTAAATATGATCTATTCATGATACTGGATAAAGTTTTGGACAACATTACATGATATGAAGATCTGTAGCTCACTGAAGACAATAGGACGTAGCAAGAGGCGATGAAGTTAAATTATATTGCCACATATATATTTTTAAAAGTTATTTATAATATATTGTTTGGGGGTTTATAACCCTACATCAACCTTTACCCATGCCCGCTGAAGATTGATTTTAAGTGTATTTTTGTAAACTTATTTTGTATAATAGCTAATGATAATGATAATGAACTAACTTAATCAAAATTCTAATTAACTCGGGGAATATAGAGAGTCGGGTCAGACGGTCCGTTACGATAGGGCCGTAATCCTAAAGATTAATTGCCATTTGATTAGTCAGCCGTCCTCAAAAATGAAGGATATTAGAAATTACCAGGAATGATGTTTTATTAGTGTAGTCACCCAACACAAGATGGAGAGCCCTGGTGACTTACACGGCAGCGCAGTGAGCAGCAGTGAGGATCCACTGGTTACTGATGATGGAGGCGCCACAGAATGGTGTTGAGCCGGAAGAACTGACGAGAGCCACTTGCCAGGGATACTCGTGTATCTCAGTTGGCTGACCACCCACGATACGAGTCTGTCGGTTGACTTGTCCACACTCTGTTCCCACAACATCACACAACTTCTTAATCCTTGCATATATTTAACACCACATACTAACATTTGAAAACGTCCAACATGTAAATAAGCTTTTTTTTTTATGAGGATTAGCCCACAAAGGCACAGGACAATGACCCACATCGGGGCCTGGGGGGGGGGGGGTAATAATAATTCAGTAAAGTAAAATTTATAATAAAGTATACACAAATAAAATGATAATGATAATATTAATAAAAACAACACTGCAATAATAATGATAATAATCATAATCATAATCATAATCATAATCATCATAATCATAATAATAATAATAATAATAATAATAAAGAAATACTAAAATGGAAAAGGGATCAAGAGGAAATAATATATGTATGTTGTGTTGTCAATGGTAAGAGAAACAATTGAGACCCTGCAATTGTATGTAAATGAGGCAGAAAGTCAGGTCAGCAACCTGGGACTTGGTCACAATTTTCGTGATGCCATATGGCAGCAGGGTCTACCATTAGACAATACATTATGCTTCCAATATCTTCCCAGGCGGTAGTACCTCCCTGTTTAGTAGCTACCTACTACTACAAATATTACCGTTATAATACAGACAAAAGATTTTCAGGAACTAGATGATTTGATTAAATAGTTGCTAGATTCACAAATTGACATTCTAATATATATATATATATATATATATATATATATATATATATATATATTATTATTATATATATATATATATATATAATATATATATATATATATATATATATTGATGTTTATGTTTTGATGTACAGACACAGCAGACCGGTTTGTCCCGATTCACAAAGAGACAACAACAGATTACGTTATACATACTGCAGCTTGTAGCTGAAGGGACGGTAGTTGCTGCTGGAGTCTTAGTGGTTGAGCCTGACCCTTGACCAGAAAAACACAAGTCGTTGCTTCCTTCACTCGTCTTAGCCTTCAGCCAGTCCAAATACTCTGCAAAATTGGCTCTTATATCAAGTCAAATATTTATAACAGTCTTGAGCACATACTATTAACGGTTTCCAAGAAGACTTCGACGTTATATGACATAAGTATTGAGATTTAACTTACTAGTGACCCGAACGTAGACTCCTGGGTAGTTGGGCATAGCACACCCATAGCCCCATGACACCACACCTGCCAACACCCACTTGCCATTCTCCTTACAGCCAAACCTCCAGAATCACCCTGCCAACATTTTAATATGATTTATGTATCGTCCTGAAAAAAAATACATTTATTTCATACAGAGATTCCTTGTATTTGTTCCAGAGTACGTGAACACTGACCTGACAAGAGTCCTTCCCACCAGCATCGTAACCAGCACAAAGCATGTCACTGATGCTGTTACCATACGACTGCTGGCACTCGCTGTTACTGACCACTGGAACCTGAACCTCTTGTAAGACATCGGGTTGACTACCGCCTGCAGGTAAATATTGGCGACGCTTTGATCAAAAGTCATAGGCTTCATATTTACTCTGCACTACTTGAGTCTGTATATGAAGTACATCCATGTTAAAGTAACGCTATAAAGTACAGTACCTGAACTCAACGTTCCCCATCCAGAAACAGTGGCGGTGAAGCCGGTATAATCTTCACTGACGCTGGGAAGACAAGCGGGTTTAACATTTTCATTCAAAGAAGCTTTTGTGGCAAGCTTTAGTACAGCGATGTCGTTATCTTGTGTACTGCTGTCATAGCTTTCATGGTTAATGATCCTTTCTACAGAAATACGCTGCTGGGCACTGGTGGAGCTGGTCAGTTCATGTGCCCCTAGGAGAACCTCCACATCTATCCCATAATCAGTTATTCTAATGAAAAACACATAAAGCATTACAACCACAAAATACAGTGTTAAAAGAAAAAATATTATATCCAGATTTTCGAAAAATAACAAATAACTCGATAACTTACGCTTCCACAATGAGCAGCCGTAACAACGTAACCATCATTATAGAGAGAAGCACCACAGAAAACCTGGTTGGTTCCCTTTACAACGAGTGCCGCTTGCCAGGGGTACTCATTCACCTCCGTCGCCACTCCTCCCACAATGCGGGTGACGCGGTTCACTGTGCCACACTTGGCTGATAAATAAAATGTTACATCTGTATTACCTTGTCTATGAAACTTGATATTTGCGTAGAAAAGTTTTCATGGTTTTCCATCTGAAATTTGTGCCTATGACATATTACTATATCAAATCAGTACATTTTCTTCATCGTTAGTCTTACACAAATATAATCAACTCGTTTCAGTTAAAAACGTACAGCATTGACCGTTGTCGACGGAGATGTCAGTGACGTCAGTAGTGACTTGGGTGATGGTCTGAACCTTGCCTGGAGACGTAAACAAAGATTAACATTCATCACATATTATCAACAATTATCATAGTATCTAACAACTTTATAATTACAATAATCATTCATAATAGACATACTTTGTCTATATTGAAGACAGTTCGACACAGCAGTGACCCACACTGCCTTCACAAAAGAGGTTATAAGAAATAAACTGTCAAAGCTAAAGGTTCATAAGAGTCCCGGCCCTGACATGGTGCATCCCAGAGCGCTAAGAGAGTTGTGCAACAAGCTTCCTGAGCCCCTGAAGATCCTGTTCTGCAAATGCCAGGATGAGCAAAAGGTCCCCTGTGATTGGAAAATGGCTTATGCGAGTCCTATCTTAAAGAAGGGCGATCGTCACCCACAAATAACTGTGGACCGGTGAGCCTCACCAGCATAGTATATAAAGTATTTAAAAGCATTATAAGAGATGCCATGATGGAACATCTACGAAACCACCTTGTAAAGGATTGCCAACACGGTTTTATGCCAGGTGCCTGCTTAACACAATTACTCAAAGTACTGGACGTTTGATCCAAATTCTAGAACAGGGCGGCAATATCGACAATATATACCTAGATTTTGCCAAGGCTTTCGACAGCGTACCCCATGAAAGGCTGAAAATTAAATTGAAAGGTACGGATTCGAGGAAATGTCCTGGCGAAGATTGAGACTTTCCCCATGACTGCAAGCAGTGTGTGGTGATTAATGACACGAAATCATCATGCGTACCCATCACAAGCTGGGTACCACAGGGTAGTGTATTGTGACCGCTGTTGTTTGTTTGCTTCTTAAATGACATGCCTGACGCTGTACACTCCTCCATACAAATGTTTGAGGATGACGCCAAGCTATTTCGAAATTAAGAACCAAGCAGACTGTCAAGAGCTGCAGAAGGATCTCTGTGAGCTTGAAGAATGGTCGAAGAAATGGCTGTTAATATTCAATGTACCGAAGTGTAAGAGGCTGCACCTGTTAAGTACCAACAGTAAGGAGGGCAGTCCCAACGGACAGAGAAACTAGTGTATATTGACAATAAGCTGAAGTTATCGGGCCATTGCGAGAATAAGGTGATTCAGGCAACTAAATTATTAGGTCTCTGAAGAAGGTCGTTCAGATATCTAGACGGGCCTTTCTTCGTAACGATCTTCAAGATTGAGGTGCTTCCCCGTCTGGAACCCGAAATATGGCTAGGGACTGTCAGTTGACTAAAAATGTCAAAGAACGGTCGCTAGACTGGTGCCTGCACTTCGGAACTTCAGCTACCCTGAGAGATTAGAGCGCCTGAAATTGCCTAACCTTATTCCACAGACGGGCAAGGGGTAACCTAATTGAGGTATAGAAACATCTCAAAGGGCACCACTCAGTCGAGTGTCCTTACCTGGAGCCGCTTGCCCCACAAGGGGTCACAACTTAAGGTTGAGTAAAGCCCAGAAAACTGTGAGGGGCAACTTTTCTGGAGTGAGAGTTGTGAACTCTTGCAACAATCTGCCAGAGAGTGTTGTGACGGCACCGGGTGTGAGCTCCTTCACGACCAGATTTGATAAGCACTAGAACATGTTCAGAGAAATTCAGAAGCCAGTGCATGCCTAGTATCTGCCAACAGTGGTTAACAGAGACGTGACCGATCGCCCAAGCAGCTAATTAACCAATGAGTGGTGAAGAGGGTGTGAAAAAAAAAAAGATAGACTAGATGTTACAATCCAGTAATAAGAGATACTGTTGGCAGGAAACAGCCGGCTGAGACTCCACCAAGTGATGGTGACAATGTACCGCCACATCTAAGGGTGAGTCTTGTTTCTACAGCAACTATTACTGAGATGTATTATCAGTCTCTCGTGTATCACAATATTGTACTTACATGGTTATATAATGTGCGTACATATTTACGACCAGTTACACATCTTATACAGTAATTACTTACCGGTGCTCTAGTTCAAGAATCACTTATCACAGCTTGAGTCAAGGTGTTACTAAAGGTGGTACAGTATTCAAGGTGGAGGGTTGGTGATGCTCACACTCACTCGGCGTTAAGCAACACAAAAATGTTTGGTTCAAAAGACTGTTTCATGTTAACAGCTGAACTGATGACCAATGAAGAAAGTTGTTGTGTTATGTCAGGTGACTGAACCAATAAATAATGTCAGGTGAGGCCTGGTCTTAGGCTATGTTGGCACCTGTTGAAACTGAAGTCTGTATGAAACAAGCCAATTAAAACTGGGACCCATAAAGACTGGAACCCATAAAGACTGGGACCCATATAGACTTTAACCCATTAAGACTGCGACCCATTAAGACTGGGACCATTAAGACTGGGACCCATAAAGACTGGGACCCATAAAGACTGAACCCATTAAGACTGCGACCCATTAAGATTGGGACCCATAAAGATTGAACCCATAAAGACTGGGACCAAAGATGGAACCCATTAAGACTGGGACCCATAAAGACTGAACCCATTAAGACTGACCCATTAAGACTGACCCATAAAGACTGAACCCATTATAACTGGGACCCATTAAGACGGGACCCATTAAGACTGAACCCATAAAGACTGGGACCCATAAAGACTGAACCATTAAGACTGGGACCCATAAAGACTGGGACCCATAAAGACTGAACCCATAAGACTGGGATCAAAGACTGGAACCTATAAAGCAACCCATTAAGACTGGGACCCAAAAAGACTGGAACCCATAAAGACTGGAACCCATAAAGACTGGAACCCATTAAGACTGGGACCCATAAAGACTGAACCCATTAAGACTGGGACCCAAAAGACTGGGACCCATAAAGACTGGAACCCATTAAGACTGGACCCATAAAGACTGGAACCCATAAAGACTGAACCCATTAAGACTGGGACCCATAAAGACTGGAACCCATTAAGACTGAGAACTCATAAGACTGAACCCATTATAACTGGGACCCATTAAGACTGGGACCCATTAAGACTGGAACCCATAAAGACTAGGACCCATTGAGACTGGGACCAATCACACTGGGACCCAAAATACTGGGACCCATAAAGACTGGAACCCATAAAGACTGGAACCCATAAAGACTGGAACCCATTAAGACTGGGACCCATAAAGACTGGAACCCATTAAGACTGGGACCACTAAAACTGGGACCATTAACACTCAGACACATAAATACTGGGACCCATTAAGACTGGAACCCATTAACACTGGCACCCATTAAGACGGACCCATGAAGACTGGGACCCATTAAGACTTGGACCCATTAAGACTGGGACCCATTAAGACTGGGACCCATTAAGACTGGGACCCATTAAGACTGGGATCCATTAAAACTGGCACCCATTAACACTGGCACCCATTAACACTGGCACCCATTAACACTGGCACCCATTAAGACTGGAACCCATTAACACTGGCAACCAATAAGACAGGGACCCATTAAGACTGGGACCCATTAAGACTGGGACCCATTAAGACTGGGACCCATTAACACTGGGATCCATTAACACTGGCACCCATTAACACTGGCACCCATTAACACTGGCACCCATAACACGAGACCCATTAACACTGGCACCCATTAACACTGGGACCCATTAAGACTGGGACCCATTAAGACTGGGATCCATTAAGACTGGGATCCATTAAAACTGGGACCCATACTGGCACCCATTAACACTGGGACCCATTAACACTGGGACCCTTAACACTGGGATCTACTTAGGTTAGGTTAGGTTTATACTGAACTTTACCAGTCGAGAACTTACCAGAGGGGACACAACACAGGAGAAACCTTGAGCTTTTCCTCTTCTGTTTGTCTTGAAAACAATATTCAAAAGGTCAGTGTCGCCTCCTTCACTGAGAGTTCCAAGGTTGCCGCAGAATCTGAGGGAACACAAAGTCGGGTGATAGTGATTAAGTAATTAATACATTAGTTTATTATATCATATTGTACTTTTATCTTATATGTTGGTTCAGATTAATTAATGGATATAAAAATAAATAAAGTATTGTATACTTTACTGTATACTTTACTGTAGCTGTTGGCAGTCGTGTGGTGCCCCCGTCAAAGCTCTCAATATTTAACAGAATAATGACAAGAGACGCCATTGTCTTTTAAAATATATCACCTGTTGTTTAATGTATTGCCGTCTTCAAGGAGGAGAACGTCACCCCTGCACCTCCTGGAATTCTTTAAATTGAATGTGCGCAGTCGATGGAGATGGTGGAGTCTGAAGCTGATGCCTAAAGATATACATCTTGCCTTAGTATCATGTTTCAGAAAAGATGATATAATGTTAAGTTTGAAATTATGGGCAGTACAGAGTTATCTTAAATGCATTTCAACACAATACACGCACACAATATTATATATATATATATATATATATATATATATATATATATATATATATATATATATATATATATCACCTCACCTGCCAGAGATTCGAACCTGCTCTGTACTATCAAAGCCTGTTCAACGAGCTCGTTGAACAGGCTTTTGTGAAATATAACAAGTCTAGGACTGCTTTAGTATCCTGTTGGTCCAGAGGTGGCCTTCCCAAGTCACAGTCGGGTCATGGGTTCGAATCCTGGCGGGGTGAGGTGACTATATGTAGAATCCCACGTTCTTATTGGCTAATGAAATATATATATATATATATATATATATATATATATATATATATATATATATATATATATATATATATATATATATATATATATATATATATATAAAAAATAAACCACTGCTTTAGGCTAGATGAGTGAGAGTTATACCAACAGAAGAGACATCCCGATATCACCCCTTTCTTCACGCAGGTAGATCAGACACTCACCTGAAGGTCCACACACAATTATGGCGGTTGGGGTATTGTTGGGAAAGTTCTTGGACTGAATCCCTACCGAAGTGCCGGGTTCTAGGGTGTGCTCTCCACAGGACACGAAACTACCTGTAATGATGTTATCACACAGACCTCATGAGTTAATTATACAATAATTATCTAATTCGCAAAGTTAATTTTTTAAACATATAGAGGCCATGACAATCGCACTGATTACCTAACAATACAGTACTGTACTTGCAACCCAAACAACAGTGATGTAATGTACTGTGTCTCACTGAGTTAAAGACACCTTAAAACAGCAATTGTCGCAATGACATGGACGAGATTTACCACATGATATCTTACTTGCTTTGGTTGAATCTGCCAATCATCGCCCCTTAGGTTGAATCTCCCAATCATTGCCCTTGTTGAATCTGCCAATCGTCACCACCTTTACCAGTGTTCCTGTAATAGTATACAATGTAAGTTTATTTTCTTGACTGCCAGACGGGGAGTATTAGGCAAAATAAAAATAAGAATTTCATACAGCACAGCAACAACTAACACTTTGGGAAATGAAGAACGGCTAGGTGTTAACACAGTGACAATAAACTCAGAGTGACTTACTTGGCCACAGTGACTGTTGAAGCCTCGCTTCTGACGCCCCACAATACCACACGTATTTATGCCTTCAGTAATAAGACTCTCTCTCTCTCTACTATTATTTAAATCTTGATAAACTTGTTAAATATATTTCATACTAATCTGTCTCAAAATGTTAATACAGTACAGTATAACATCACAATATAGCTTTTTATAACCAGTGTAATATTTCTTCCTGTAAACAATTAACATTGTCATATCTATTTGAGGTCCATTTTTGTTTCATTAAGTCTTCGCTGTACAAAATAAAGTCCTTCTCAGTTCTCTCATCCATACCTTGAATCATCCTGGATCCCAAACAACACACAAAGTGGAACTAGTGTGTGTTGTTTCGATTCACAGAAAGATGATTCACGGGGTTCATGAATGACGGAGTGGATTGACAGGACTCTTTTGGCGGGTGTACATACATAAGTAATTGTCAGCGACACAACCATCCAGTCACGAGTTGTTGAGCATTTTCGTAGTGCTGCTCTCTGTTAGTTATTGTACGGTACCTTCCTATTGTGTCTGTACTTATTATTTGCTAAATAAATGCGTTCGATTGCGTGTTACACTGCATTACGATGAAAGTCTTCACAAAGGAACAGAGAATAGAACGACCCACCCACCGAACGACTGGTAAAGTGATAAGTGGTGGAACTATTAAATCAAGAGTAACCAGAGAGGATGAGTGTACGTTAAACTCAGCAAGACATACTGACCTGAACACTAGTACCGAGGCTCAGTAAGTGTTCCTATTGATCATACTGCAGGGTGAGGGTTACCAGCATGTTATACTTACTAGCATGGAGACCGCCCAAGCGAGTACTGAGTACGCATCCTGGCTTATGTGAGAAACAATGGACAACGTTACTGGGGTTCCCAAGTACTGGTTGGAGTGACTAAAGGCTTACACCCACTGTGCTGCCTCTACTCTTCCATCACCTTATAAAGGACAACGGGGAACGAGTTTACGTCATCCAGTGACACTTGTGAGTCTCCACTAACCCTAACCCACTCATCATCTCGCCTTTAATGTAAAGGTAAAAGATTAGCTTCGAAATTACACAGGGTTATATAACGGTTTTCAGCCTTAAAACTATTCAGAGTTGAATGCTATTT